TCCTAGAGGTCCAGTTTATAAGGATCATCTCTTATTGATCCAGTGTTACTACAGGAGGAAACCTAAACTAAACTAACTTTATTTATACTGGATAGCTCTATCAGTTATAAAATGTTCTTCCTAGAGGTCCAGTAAGGATCATCACTAATTGAACCAATGTTACTTTGGGAGGAAACCTAAACTAAACTAATTTCATTTATATTGGATTGCTCCATCAGTTCCAAACTGTTCTTCCTAGAGGTCCAGTAAGGATCATTTCTTATTGATCCAGTGTTACTACAGGAGGAAACGTAAACTAAACTAAGTTTATTTATACTGGATAGCTCTATCAGTTCCAAACTGTTCTTCCTAGAGGTCCAGTAAGGATTATCACTTATTGATCCAATGTTACTGCAGGAGGAAACCTAAACTAAACTAACTTCATTTATATTGGATTACTCTATCAGTTCTAAACTGTTCTTCCTAGAGGTCCAGTAAAGATCATCTCTTATTGATCCAGTGTTACTACAGGAGGAAACGTAAACTAAACTAACTTTATTTATATAGGATAGCCCTATCAGTGCTAAGCTGTTCTTTCTACAGGTCCAGTAAGGATCATCTCTTATTGATCCAGTGTTACTACAGGAAGAAACTTTAACTAAACTAACTTAATTTATACTGGATAGCTCTATCAGTTCCAAACTGTTCTTCCTAGAGGTCCAGTAAGGATCATTTGTTATTGATCCAGTGTTACTACCGGAGGAAACTTAAACTGAATTAACATTATTTATACTGGATAGCTTCATCGCTTCAAAACTAGTAATAAAATCGAAATAGCACCTTTGCTGCTTTGGCCATAGCAAAGCCTGCACCCAGAAGCAATACAATGTTCCATGGAAACTTTTTGGTGACCACTTTCCATTCGAGTAACGTGGGAAACGGTTTATCTGAAGCGACGGATAGAACATTTTTTAAATCTCCAATGGATGATAAATAATTGATTTAATTAAGAAACATTTTCAGAAATGGAACCGCATGTGTTTTTATAGGTTATAATTTCTGATGTCAGATTTCTTTAGAATTAATTCCAGCAATTCAGGAAAAGATATCTCTTACTATACCGGAGAATACAAATTATACCTGTGGTGGAAGCAGCTTCATCGTCTTCTTCATCATCAAAGAGCTTTGGTCTTTTGGCGGGAAAGTTAAACAAGGAGAAAGCTACCGCCATACTGGCTGTGGCGTCACGCACGTATCTACAAAACATAGAAAGATTTTACGTGACAAAATTTACATCAGAGGTTTATCGACTTTCATGGCTTGAATAAAGGAGAACAAGAGTTGAATGAGAGTTGACAAGCGAGAGTTTACATGAGACTCATCAAAATTTCATCCACTATCATTGCTTGCTCAAACGAGAACAAGAGTTGCATGAGAGTGTACAAGCGAGAGTTTACATGAGAGTTTCATGAACTATCATTGCTTGATCAAACGAGAACAAGAGTTGCATGAGAGTTGACAAGCGAGAGTTTACATGAGAGTTTCATGAACTATCATTGCTTGATCAAACGAGAACAAGAGTTGCATGACAGTTGACAAGCGAGAGTTCACATGAGAGTTTCATCAACTATCATTGCTTGGTTAAACGAGAACAAGAGTTGCAAGAGAGTTGGCAAGCGAGAGTTTTACATGAGAGTTTCATCAACTATCATTCCTTGATTAAAGGAGAACAAAAATTGCATGAGAGATGACAAGCGAGAGTTTTAAAAATTATTATCGCTTGATCAAACGAGAACAAGACAGTCAACAAATTGGTCGATATTTTCGGGACTGTTTTATTAATCTGTTCAGTATTTTTCCCAATGAAGCACCTACACAACAATTCACCTAATTCAGCTGTTGTTTGCAATGGTCAAAATTGTTTGTTATCGTAGCCAGGTAACGCACAGCTCTGAAGTTTGCCCACCTGCCATGATGTTTTTTTGTTGTTGAAAGAGAGATTTATCAGTGTGCTATGTAAGTTACATGAGCGGACGAAGGTCGAGCTCTCTTTTGCCCCACCAAGCAAAACGATATATTTGTGGCGTACAGCGTTGAAGATCTACCGTCTGTTTCATCTGGCAAGCGGTTTGTTTAGAAGAACACTTGAAGAGTTGGGATTTGTTGGACCGAACAACCTTTTTGAACTGGAAAGACTTTTCGTGTTGATGGGAAAACGAAGACTTGTTTCCATGGTTTCCAGTTTCATTGATAATTCATTCAATTGGATTGTTTGCAGGGGGACTGGCAAGAAATAGCGATTCCTAGCTTTGTGATATAGATGGAGAAAGAGGCAAAAGTCTGGTAGCGATCAATCTGGCGAGAGTTTATAGTAATCATGTTGGAATCAATGGTCAGCCTGACAGTACTCTTCCACTCATGAGTAAAATCATCTGACATTAGGCAAAGTGAAATACTAAAGTAGGACACATCTGGGTGAATGGCAAGTTAATGGGTTAACAAGAGACACTGACAGATAGTTTTGTTAACTTATTAACTAACAGTACTCTTCCACTGATAAGTAAAATCATCTGGCATTAGACAGACTAAAATACTAAAGTAGGACACATCTGGGTGCATTGCAAGCTAATGGGTTAACAACATACACTGACAGATAGTTTTGTTAACACATTAACTGACAGTACTTTTCCACTGATGAGTAAAATTATCTGGCATAAAACAGAGTCGAATTATTACAGAAAATATATCATTTTAAAATAAATATATCATTTTATAAATAATACAGTACTGTGCAAAAGTTTTAGGCCCCCAGTCAAATTGTCACTTGTTAGTAAAATTCATGGCATTGGCAGACATGCTAGGTAGAAAGACTTGTAGTGGTCTTGCACTTGGTACAGCCATCATGAGAGACCATTATTGCGGCACAATGCCCAGTCATTGACCTAACAAGCTTGTTTGTTACATCTGGATCAACAGCCTCACGTGATGCGAAAATGGTCTCTTTGATTCTTCCAGATGTCGAGATGATCTTCTATCTGACCTCTTCCTCAGTTATTCCCGGAGATATTCGAACAGGTTTAGGTCAGAATTCTTTCGCTGCCATGAACTGATTGATATTTCTTTCAGTGGGGCTTTTTTCTCTGTCACATGGTGCCCTATCTTTTTCAAAGATAAAGTCTCAACCCCAACATCTCTCCACCTTTTAGAAAGTCCCAAGATCGTAAATTTTCGACTAGATACGGAAAATGGTATGTTTGGCTTGTATCTAGAACTTTCCTAATAGATGAGATGGCTTTGTGGTGGAGATTATATCTTTCAGTACGATGGAGCACCATGTCGTACAGAAAAGAGCCTGAAAGAAAGTGATATTGACCAGCCCAGGGCTATAAGAAAGAGATGCTGAAGTAAACCTCATTGAACATTTTTGGGAATAAGTGAGGAAGAGGTCAGATAGAAGATCATTTAGACATGTGGAAGAATTAAAGAGACCATTTTCGCATCACGTGAGGCTGTTGATCCAGATGTAATAAACAAGCTTGTTAGGTCAATGACTGGGCATTGTGCCGCAATAATGGTCTCTCATGGTGGCTGTACCAAATGCAAGACCACTACAAGTCTTTCTACCTAGCATGTCTTGCAATGCCATGAATTTTACTAACAAGTGACAATTTGACTGGGGGCCTAAAACTTTTCCACAGTACTGTATATCATTTTAAATATAAGCATTTTTCTTACCCATCTTTTAACAATATACTCCATCCAGAAATAAACTTCGGATCTCGTATTGCCCAAAGTAACGCAAGAATGACGAAATGGGCCAAAACACCTTTCTCTGCAAATCTATGAAATATTGAACACTTTTTACACACAACACCGTAGAAATTGGTGTTTATGAAGTTTCAAGCCGAAAATCTAATCACTGGTTCACAATATTGTGCATCACATTTCTGTATCGCTATCAAAGAGAAAACTATTGAATAACTTCAAAAAGTTCAATATTTCTTCTGAATACGCATTCTGCAATCTTTACAAAGCTCATCATACAAATCTGACAGCTGTGAAATGGCCATTTTGTTTAAGGCTTAAAGTATACAGAAGGTTATTAATCCAGACGATTCGTTTTTGCCGTGTGCAAGCTTCAAACGTTTTGTGGCAGACATATTTTTATAATTATATTATTTTCTATAATTGTATTATATTTTATAATATAACATTTATAGTACGCGCGTGCTGATTAATCAAGAAGCGTGTTTCTATTTAACAATTAGACATCGAGTCCGACTTGTCTATGAGCGAATAGTCAACGAAGGCGAAGCCTGAGTTGACTATTCGCTCATAGAAAACGCAGGCGAGTTGTCTAATTGTTTCAGTATACACCCTGTACCTAGATATATTAATTTCGAGAAAATAATCGATACACCGCAAATACACCGAAAAATAATCCAATTTTATACGGTCGCGCAAGCGAAATTTTCCCAACCGTGCACCATCACGAATAGAAAATGGTTGAGTAGCCAATCAGAATGTAGGATTTGTTAATAGACAATAGTCGGGTGTATACTAAAACTGTATAGAAACACGGGAATTTTCCCTCCAAACTTGACAAGCGAAGCGATGTAATGAGAATTTGTAATTGAATCGAATTATAATATTTGTACAAAATCTTTTTATTGAGTTATATTATAAAAGAAATAGAAAACATTTTTTCCTGTGTTTCCATACAGCTATAGAAACACTTGTGGGAGTTTGGGAGAACTCGAAATAACATGGAAAAACTCGCCCTACGGGCTCGTTCTCCCACTGATTATTTCTCGTTCTCCCAAACTCCCACGCGTGTTTCTATAGCTGTATAGAAACACGGAAAATGTTTTCTATTTCTTAAATAATCATCGATAAACAAATTACGAGATTCTCAAATATTTTTTTAACGGGACACGGGTGAATCATTCCTAGCTTCGTTTCACGGTTTCAGAAGGCAATGCTTCTTATATCCAGTGTATTAATAGGTCAGAGATGAAAACTTACGTCATTCGTCCCAGGGCATCGTACTCGCGTTGAATGACTTTTCTAACGGAAGATTGTTCTTCATTTGAATGATATGACGAACCAGTTCTTGATCGAAACGAGTTAACAATGGTTCTGAAACTTTAAATTTAAAACGTGATCAAAATATAACTTTATCCATAAAGGTTTCACGCTTAATTAAAGATTTATAAGTTTCAACTCGACAAGAGCTTGTCCAGGCCAAGTATTGCATCAAAAACCTATTGGAATGACTGGAAAAATGTATTGAAATTGAAAAATATGAAGGGGTATTGTTTTGCATTCAGTCAAATAATATTTGTTGATTTGGGTCAATCCAGTTGTTCCTGGGATTTATATAGCCCTTTTTCACAATTACGTCAAAGTCTGATGTTACACGAAGTTTGATTGGCTCGTTATAGTTTTGCAGAGCCAATCAAACTTGGTGTAACAGCATGCTTTTCACTTTTGTTGGTATTATGAGAAAAGTTTATGAAATTGAATATAGGTTAGGCTTCAGGCACGATTTTTGCGATTTCCTCTTTCGATAGATGTGAACGAGCGAACGGTCATGAGTGCTTTGATGTGTGTATACCCTAAAATGTATATTCATACTCAAACACTAGTTCGATCGCTCAAAAGAAGACATTCGCACCGAAAATCGGGACAAAACTAAAAGTGCAACGGGCTTTCAAAAAGTCTTACTTGAATCCAAGGAACATCCATTGCAACCAAAGCCAACTGATTAACAGCAAGATAACTGCTTCGGGAAACGCAAATATGAACCAATCTCCAAAACCAATACCTCCACTTTCATCAAATAACCTAAAGAAAAACAAGACGCCTGTTCTGGCGTTAACTCCGGCGCACGTGCCAGTGTTCAATATAGAGCTTCTGAACATAAACAATACAGTTAATATTCGCATTTAAATGCCTTGCGAGTTGCGAACCTATAAATGTTCGATCGCGAAATTTAGAAGCATATCGTACTTTAAAAAGTATAGAAGTTCAATTGTTCAAAAATGTAAATAAACTGCACGATACATTCGCTTTGTCTTACACTTTGCTTTTGGAATAGGCGCTTATATATCATATTTTCAATCCTGTGCAAACTAACGACGTGTCAACGCGCCCATACACGACCACATCATTATGTTAAACGGCGAAATAGCAGCGATATTATTAAAATAGGACCAGAATCTACATGTATTAAATATATTCTTGCCCCAATTCAATCTAAACTTAATCGAACAGCATGAAAACAACGGTATATTTGTTCCTCTTGGAGGAATTGCCGTATCATGCGAGCGAAATCGAATCGCGCATCGAAAAATTAGCCAAAGCTGTACACCACAACTCTTGGGAGATAAGACTGGGACGTAGATAAATACGGTTACATACACATTTCAAATACTAGAATGGTTCGCGCCATTTCAGACTTGCGACGACGAAAAATAATAAAAAAAAAAAAAAAAACAAAACAAAACCGAGGCGAATTTTCAACTCCGTCGCTGACGCCGGAGTAAAAATTAAAACGACGTAATCCCAGTGAACTGAAATAAGACTGGAACGCTAGACCTGCGAAAAAATTGAAGCCAAGATGGCGGAATATGAAGCCGTTTTGGTGAAATATATTTCACCAAAGTGTTTAACGTTTGTTAGAGTGAATGGAACAGTTACATTTACATACTCTTCTGTCTGTCCAACAAAGACAAGATTAGTGCCAGTCCCCGTAAGCGTTGCTGTTCCACCGACGTTGGCGGCATATGCTATCGACAGCATTGTTGCCTTGCAAAGATCTCTGAAGGCCTTGTCATCCGGCTAAAAGATAATGAAAACAAGATACCTATCTTATTGTTCCAGTGTTACTACAAGAGGAAACGGAAACTAAACTAACTTTATTTATACTGGATAGCTCTATCAGTTCTAAATTGTTCTTCCCAGAGGTCCAGTAAGGATCATTTATTATTGATCCAGTGTTACTACAGGAGGAAACCTAAACTAAACTAACTTTATTTATACTGGATTGCTCTATCAGTTCTAAACTGCAGTAAAATACATTTGCTATCTAAAATGTAATCTTTTATCAAAACTGTAAACAAATCCTTTTCAAGTTTCAACATACCGGGCTGGACAATTTAACGGTGCTAATGCTTCTCGTGGCAGAAGGTTTTTCATCCATCACAGCCATCTCAACATGCTCAGAGTTTGCAATAACTTCTTCTTTCCCATCCGTCTCAGACTTAGCAACGCCAATTTTCCTGATTTCCCTGATTTCTCCTAACACGGCCTGGGCAATGGGTACCATCATTGCAGTTGTGGCGGTATTACTGACCCACATCGAAAGGAAAGCAGTCGGACACATAAAACCTAGTAGCAACCTGCAGAGGAGAATCTAGTTCAGTTCAGCTTAGTTTAGGTTTCCTCCTGTAGTAAAACTGGATCAATAAGAGTGATCCTTTCTGAACCTCTAGGTAGAACAGTTTAGAACTGATAGAGCTATCCTGAATCAATAAAGTTAATTAGCTTAGGTTTCCTCCAGTAGTAACACTGGATCGATAAGAGATGATCCTTACTGATTCTGTAGGAAGAACAGTCTAGAACTGATAGAGCTATCCTGTATAAATAAATTTAGTTTAGTCAGTTAGGTTTCCTCCTGTAGTAAAACTGGATCAATAAGAGATGATCCTTACTGATTCTCTAGGAAGAACAGTTAAGAACTGATAGAGCTATCCATTGTAAATAAAGTTAGTTTAGTTTAGATTTCTTCCTGTAGTACCACTGGATCAATAAGAGATTAGTATAAATGGACCTCTAGGAAGAAGAGTTCAAAACTAATGGGGGTATCCGGTAATAAAAGGTTAGTTAGTTTAGGTCTTCTTTTGTAGTAACAGTGGATCAAACCTTCTTGGTTGAGTTCCAATTAACAGAAGTATTTTCAAAGCGATTCTCTTGTGCAAGTTCCATTGCTCCACGGCAACGGCTAGCATCATACCCCCCACGAACAGGACGTTGGTGTCGCTGAAATAAGGCGTGCTGATCTCCTTCGCTTTGACTACACTAAGTATGGGGAATAGTAGCAATGGTAACAATGACGTGACAGCCAAGGAACATGATTCAGTTGTCCAGTAGATCGCCATGATCATGATTGCGTAGGCGCAACTTGCCCGCTGAAATTGAAAATTTAGAATCGAGTCATACTGGATCTCTATTCAGAAGAGTTTACAACTGTTAGAGCTATCCAGTGTAAAAAAATTAGTTTAGTTTAGGTTTCCTGCTGTAGTTACACTGGATCAATAACAGATGATTCTTACAGGACCTCTAGGAAGAACGGTTTAGAACTGATAGAACCGTCACAGATTTCTTGATTTTACTGTTTTATTTACCATTCAGTACAAATAGCAAGTTCGCTTTAGGTCGCTTAAAACTAGAATCAGCCGGTGATTGGTATAGTTGTCGTTTGTAATTGTTTTAGGACTAGTAATAATGCGAACTTTTTAATTATAGCTAAGTGTTATACAAGCAATGTCATTTGGAAATTTTAAGTCAAGTCCGTTTGTAAATAGGTCTTTGTTTATATTTTAAAACTGTTGTACTCTTAAAATTTGAAAATTTCTGAAAAATTAGGGTATCATATGAGCTCATATTGTTATGCGCAAAAGCGATGCGCAGAACGAGCTCGATTATCGTAAACGTTGTTTAATTAACTAAAATAATCTTCGGTTAACAATTTTAATCCAGTGTTTTAGTTTCTTATGTGCTTCTGAACCACTGTTCGTTTTAAAACTTTAGAAAATATGACATCTATCGGTCCTGAAAATATTTATGAAAAAGATCTTTGCCCACAAACGATTAGAAAATATGAATGTAAAGATTTTCTTTAATCCAGTGTTAAGGTAACCGGCTTTGAACAACCGACCACTGGTTTCGCATCAGTTAAAGTCCAACTTGTAAGAATATTTTCAAATATTAAACCAGGAAATGTAAATAAGGAATGGCTCGCTAGGTTTTAGCCCCACCAATAATTTTTTCGTATTTAGTTTATAATTTCGAATTTTTTAGTTCGCTCGAATTTACAAGCAATATTTTCAGCAATTTGTATTTTTTGCTTACAAGTATATGCATTGTATCTTATCTTGAATACTGTCGTAACTTTTACTTCTTCAACGTGTATTTTAATAACCAAACAAATGACTCATTCTAATTTCCAACGATATCTGTCCTAATAAATCCGCCATGTTTACAAATGGATTGAAACAATACATATTTAGCCAAAATAAAAAAAGCATAGAAACAAAAAAGTATCTACTATTTCCCAATAATTCTTAAATTGGGGGGCATTTGCGGCCTTTTCAGAGGTCTATATTTAAAAATTTTCCCGGGGGGTTGTACCCTCGTTCTCACCCCCCTGGTTAGCTTGCGGCTTTTCGCTCGCCCGAGCCCCAGCAATACAAAAAATGCTTTAAGGGTTACGTGAACATTAGACAAGCAGTTATATATTGTTGACCGACAAGAATGCATTGAAATGACGATGACGTGTTTGGAATACTCCTTTAAAGAAACGTTATGGTAAAACGTTGTTGTATATTATCAACCGTAACAATTTAATGAGATATAAGACGTTGCAAACAATGTGTTTACGTTTAGGAACAATTCTACAGGGTGTCCCAAAAAAAACGAAAACTATTGAAATCACCCATAACAATGTAATTGTTAGAGTTTGAATGCCTAAGCACTCTGTTGGGACCCACAAGTGTGTAAATGTTTGCCATAAGCATTTTTATGCATGCATATGATGCAGTAAAATTTGCTCGTACGCGAAAATGATATTTATTAACAATATTTAAATGTGCATCTCAATTACCATGACCTTTGACATGTCCCCTTTCTCTAGCAACACAAAGCATTTAGCATTTCACTGAGTTGTATTAAATCCCCACGGGTTAAAATTCGTGCACACGGCATTCAAATTTTAACAATGAGTGATTTCAATAGTTTTTGTTTTTTTTGGGACACCCTGTATAGAGCCTAATTCGAGGAAGCGCTCACTGGGTCGTGAAATGCAGACGTTCTACGGACGTAATAAACGACGTTTTGCCGTTGTAAACAGAAGGTCTAAAACTCCCATAGGTATTTAATAATTCATTTCTTTTCAATGAAGCATTGTATTGGTAGCTGCCGTCGTCGTGTTCTCGTCCTAGATGCTTAAGATGACTAATATCAGTTGTCACGGTTAAATATACCGTGGATAGATTTCCAGCAAATTTCCAGCTCAAAGCTTTATTGAGAGTTTAATATCTCCGTAGTGTAACTCATTAGTCACCGAACGTTAAATCTGGATTATTTTCTGGAATTCTGACCGACAAATCTCAACAGCTATTGTTCCACGGCTATCTTTAAAACAGGGAACGGGGAATAGGGGAATGGAACGGGGAATGGAACGGGGAATGGAACGGGGAATGGAACGGGGAATGGAACGGGGAATGGAACGGGGAATGGAACGGGGAATGGAACGGGGAATGGAACGGGGAATGGAACGGGAATGGAACGGGGAATGGAACGGGGAATGGAACGGGGAATGGAACGGGGAATGGAACGGGGAATGGAACGGGGAATGGAACGGGGAATGGAATGGCTTCGGGGAATGAGCCGGGAAATGAAATGGCTTCGGGGAATGTGCAGCTTCCATGTCACGAATCATGAGACAGCTACTCACAGTTTGAATTCCTTGAGGTAAAAGACAAAGCGATTACAAGCTCATGGTATAAATGCGATGTTTGCATTGTCATTGTGATGTACATTGATGTACATTAATATATAGATAGAATTTGCATGGGTAGGTGGTTCAATGTAAATCCTCCAAAATCTGAAGGCAATTAGTATAATACTGTAATAGTATTTTTTGCAGAAATCTTTTTAGTTCTTACTATGCCTTATAAAGCTCAATGTGTGTGATTAAAAGGTGAATAAAGATACTGACACAGTGTCACTTGTTTGTTTTTTATTTCAGGCTATGTGAACAAGACCTCTGGACAGTTTTGTTTAAGCAGGAATAATGGTTGTGGTGGAAATGTGGTGAATGCATTCTTGACAAGTTAATGGGTTTGCTTCCAAGAATACACTGAAACTTGGAGCAACAATGACTTTGAATATAATTATGTAATTAATATATTATTTATTAATCTTAATTTATATGACTTTTTACCTCACATAATTCAAATAATGTTCAGATAAAGAGGTAAATATTTCACTGTTAATGGTGTAATAAATATTTATATGTTGATTATATTCATAATGAATTATTTGTCCTGCTCCATACTTTGGCAATTCTGTTTAAGAAATCCCACCATAGTAGATCTTTTTTGAAATAGTTACAGTCAAGTTGTTGTCTAGTTTAGTACAAAATAATACAAGTGCTACAATTAAACAAGGGAAAATAATAAAAATTAATTACATAAGCAAGCACATTTTCTATTTTGAAAAGGTCTATGAATTGAGATGACATGTACTAACAATTTTGTGCATTAATTAAAGACAATTGTATTATTACTGTGGGTTCTTTAATATTGTCCAATACTCCCAGTGACATCCCACTGAATTCCTGCAGGGGTCTCAATCCATCAAACCAGTTTATCTTTTATTTCTATATTTAAGTCAGAATCAATGTATTCAATATCAATATGTTATCTTTTTGGAGACCCCCCAAGAAGAAATCCAGAAATTTTTCAACACCCCCCTTCTCATTTTGTACCATAATCATCCTGCCAAGGAAGGGGTTGGCTTCAAGAACATGGTTCTCAATTCTGATGAAGAGAAAAAATTGCTTTTCTCCTTTAACAGACTTGTCAAAAAAATGTTGTAGAACTTAGATATTATTTTTACATATTGATATTGAATACATTGATTCTGACTTAAATACAGAAATAAAAGATAAACTGGTTTGATGGATTGAGACCCCTGCAGGAATTCAGTGGGATGTCACTGGGAGTATTGGACAATATTAAAGAACCCACAGTAATAATACAATTGTCTTTAATTAATGCACAAAATTGTTAGTACATGTCATCTCAATTCATAGACCTTTTCAAAATAGAAAATGTGCTTGCTTATGTAATTAATTTTTATTATTTTCCCTTGTTTAATTGTAGCACTTGTATTATTTTGTACTAAAACTAGACAACAACTTGACTGTAACTATTTCAAAAAAGATCTACTATGGTGGGATTTCTTAAACAGAATTGCCAAAGTATGGAGCAGGACAAATAATTCATTATAAATATAATCAACATATAAAATATTTATTACACCATTAACAGTGAAATATTTACCTCTTTATCTGAACATTATTTGAATTATGTGAGGTAAAAAGTCATATAAATTAAGATTAATAAATAATATATTAATTACATAATTATATTCAAAGTCATTGTTGCTCCAAGTTTCAGTGTATTCTTGGAAGCAAACCCATTAACTTGTCAAGAATGCATTCACCACATTTCCACCACAACCATTATTCCTGCTTAAACAAAACTGTCCAGAGGTCTTGTTCACATAGCCTGAAATAAAAAACAAACAAGTGACACTGTGTCAGTATCTTTATTCACCTTTTAATCACACACATTGAGCTTTATAAGGCATAGTAAGAACTAAAAAGATTTCTGCAAAAAATACTATTACAGTATTATACTAATTGCCTTCAGATTTTGGAGGATTTACATTGAACCACCTACCCATGCAAATTCTATCTATATATTAATGTACATCAATGTACATCACAATGACAATGCAAACATCGCATTTATACTATGAGCTTGTAATCGCTTTGTCTTTTACCTCAAGGAATTCAAACTGTGAGTAGCTGTCTCATGATTCGTGACATGGAAGCTGCACATTCCCCGAAGCCATTTCATTTCCCGGCTCATTCCCCGAAGCCATTCCATTCCCCGTTCCATTCCCCGTTCCATTCCCCGTTCCATTCCCCGTTCCATTCCCCGTTCCATTCCCCGTTCCATTCCCCGTTCCATTCCCCGTTCCATTCCCCGTTCCATTCCCCGTTCCATTCCCCGTTCCATTCCCCGTTCCATTCCCCGTTCCATTCCCCGTTCCATTCCCCGTTCCATTCCCCGTTCCATTCCCCTATTCCCCGTTCCCTGTTTTAAAGATAGCCATTGTTCCACCTCGCTAAACATAGGCAGATGTCAGAAGGTCAGCTCAGCCCTGCTCTGCTCTACTGTGAAGCAAAACGTTTTTTCAACCCAATATTTGCGATTTACGATAAAAAATACTTGCTGTTTACCGCTGACGGTGCTATTGCAAGCAGTATACTATAAACCACATCTAAGCGCTTATATTCCTCATTCAAGGCTGTTTAGCTGTTCGTTTGCAAAAAGAAAACAAATATATATATATATATATATATATATATATATATATATATATATATATATATATATATATATATATATATATATATATATATCATCTTACATAACAACGCTTCTCAACCATCGAAATACCACATAATTAACACACTATTTTGACTATAATATCATTCAAATACTCTGAACATGTTTTGAGGGCAACAACGAAACGTTAGCTAAATTTTTCTTGTTTTTAAAATGCTTCGACTATGAGATATTTGGCGGGCTCAAATATTTGTATTTAAACAACGACATTCTCCCGTTGTGGCGATCGTTGTGGCGGTCTCTAAGACCAAAAACTGAACATTAATCGTCTCGACGTATTATGCCTCTGGAGATGACTCTTTAATGACTTTATACTGAAGACGAATAACCGCCCGTCAAAAAATATTGAAAACGCTTAAGCCCTGGTTTCACGACCAGGAGCGCTATTTCTTGGCGAAATGCGAAATATTTCGCTTGCTCCCTTTGAATTGTGAGCAGGGCTTCCACAACTTATTTGCATATGGCCGTTTTGATAGGGGGATGGCAATGACAAGAGAGAGAAACAAAGAACTTTTGAAAATAATGCATAATATATCCTAGCTATTAACACAGATCCCTCCCTCTCTCGTGGTTGCCATTTGGAAGGAAATTTCCTTCCATTGACATTGTGGAAGCCCTGATTGTGAGCAATCAAGCAGAATTGGTCACAATTCAAAAGAAACAGGCGAAAGTTTTCGCATTTTACCGAGCAACAGCGTCCATGGATAAGGCCGTGGTGTCCATAACGCATTATGCGTCTCTAGCGTGAAAACGGCCAATCTAGCAATTAAATCGCGGGTTTCACATGAGTCGCGTGTCTGATTGCTGCTAATCTTCTTTGGTTAAAAAAAATCTCGTTAATTTCACAATACCTTGTCTTGCAAAGCCAACGGTATAGGGGACAATAGGATGGGCGTTAGCAACAATATGAGATATTTCCGCCATTTTTTTAAGGCTTTTAACCATCTCGAAGCCATGTCTCAAAAAACCTTTCCGTTGCAAAGCGAAGAAACTATGTTGACTGTTGTGATTCTATGATAATCTGCAGCGACGATTGTGCAAACGTAAAGTAATAATATGACACTATGCAATTTAATACCGCTATTTGTAATCAAACGCGATGGGAGCCCAATTTGTATCGTTGTTTATTATCAATCAATGTTACTTTGACCTCTACTTAAGGTTACGTTCACCCACACTTAATTAGGTTGAGCTATTGTCATGCAACGCAACCATTCACGGGTTATTAGTGAGTTTACGATTCACGACGCAGGCAGTTCAACGACGCGCTTGCAAAACAAAGAAACACCACACGCGAGACAATAGTTATGCATATATAATTCATAGTCCCACGACAGCTTTTTTTTCTTACGACGCGTTCAAATGAGGTATTTTCACGGCTTCTCGATGACATGAAAGCAGCGGCAACCCGCGAAACTGCTTTACAGCTTATATGAAATTGCAATATCAGCTAGATATTGGAGGTTCTTAGCACAATTGAAACGTTTGTATGATTATTTCAATGTCATAAGCAAAATATTCGACTAGCGACGTCGAGCTGACCGCTCGTAGATCGTAAACTTCCTAATCAACGTAAGATGCTGTATATTCTTACATTTATAAGATTCACTGCACACTTTCGCCACGCTAGGCTTTTTATTAGCAAACAATAAAATGCGCTAAATGATTAGCCAGTTCTAATGAGTTGACAGTTGAAATGTTTTTAAAACTGTCACTCAAATCATCGCTGCATATTCAATCAAAACGTAAAGTTGAGTTGGGTAGAACGTAACCTTGAGTAGGGGTGAACGTCTCGTTGGCTGCTAGCAAACAACGATAAAAATTCGGCACGCGGCGCGTTTGATTGCAAATATATATAGCAGTATGCCATCTTGAACTGATTTAGTTGATTTATATATATATATATATAGTTTAGTTTTGACCTCCATAGTGTCGAGATTCTTTTATTTAATAAAAGGTGCTTTACATGCAGTCGTTTCTGCCAGGGCGTCTATAAGATAGGGCGGCGAAACGCACGGATGGCGTGTTGAAACATGTGTGATGTGCGGACCCCCCATGAAGATTCAAAAAACTGTTTTCAAAATGGCGGCGGGTTACTTAGATGACGAAGAACTTGAGATGTTTATAAGTTTGGATGACACTGATCTGGCAACAAATGACACAAATTCGTCATTTCCAGTTGGAAATACTGTTAATTTCAACGTAAAGGAGTTAATTGCTGTTCTTGAAAGGGTTTCTTCGTGTTTTTTATACTCGTCCTAGTCCGCTGGTTACCAAGACAAGTTTGTAAACATGGTTCCGTTTTATGGTGGTCGTTTTCCAGAGAAAATTGTGAAAAAGGTTCAAAACATTATGCAACCATTTGCACGTGGAATCAATGTTAATGAACAAGGGAGTTATTTTCTAAATTTTCCAGCTTTAGAAGCTATGGCAAGGTTTTCAATTTTTTAATGGAAATTTTGTATATTGAAAATTCGAAAACGTTGTTGCGACGCGGTCTAATGCTCTTGCAAATAAGTTAGCATTTTCTTGTTTTGTTTTTAGCTTGGCCAGGTCGACATTGCCATGACGAAAGAAAAACATATCATATTTTCAATTCGGAACGTTATCTAAGTATATAATATAATTTAAAGGGATTTTGTGTTGATATTTTACGACCTCGCAGCCGTGAAAACAATTTTGTTGTAGAAAGTTTGAATACGTTCACTTCTACAAATGATTGCAAAAAAGGTTCAAAACGTTGTGTAGTGAAATTTGCTACAAATGTTCGTCAATATTCTGTACACCAAATCTTGAAGTATAATGCTTTTGGGATTTTCCTGACAGAGAAAAATCAAAATGTGTATGATACATCTAAAAACAGACCAAGTAGCCGTGCGTATCCGTAGTTTTAATTTGACAAATTCGGTCAGTTAACTTTTGAAGAAACAATTTTAAGACACAATATTAATAGAAAGAGTTATAAATTACACAGGAGAAATCTTATTTTAGATATCGCGTTAATAGTTTTAGAGATTGAGTGGTTTTAATCGAGCTTGTTAAAAACCAAGTAAATATTGTTTCGTTCGAGAATTTTTCGCCGACCGCCCCGTCTCAGTCCTAAAATCGCATCACACATGTTTCAACACACCATCCGTGCGTTTCGCCGCCCTATCTTATAGACGCCCTGTTTCTGCCCATCGATTCTTCTCATAACAACGAGTGGTTTATAGTTGTTTCAAAGTTGCTCGAATTTCGCACGTTTTGTAAATCTCTGAACATAAACTCTCTCTCTCATATTCATTTAAAAGTAGAGCGAACTAAAAGCGTGTCAAATATTCTGAAGGTTCTTTAAGCAACATTCATGGAATTAATTTGAATTTTTAATGGTGACGTACGGTCATATAGGGGCTGTTTACATGAGCCCGGTTACCCGGGATTCAACGAAGCGTGAGATGATTCTGAGGTATTGAAATGGGCAGATAACATGATTCTGGCAGTCGTATACTCACCACAACAATAGCATGTCCCTGCTTGGTGTCATAAAGACTTATTTCAATACCTCAAAGTCCTCTTACGCTTCGTTGAATCTCGGGTAACCGGGCTCATGTAAACAGCCTCTTAGTGTAAACAAACGTTTTGGTTACATTTTAAACTGCTGTGTTTCCAAAAATATCCCTTGTGTTATGACTGATATTTTTTAGGCCCGTTTACTCAAAGTTGAATTTATTTGTACGGTACGGCTAAAATTGGTATCCGTGCACATTGTTATTCTTTCCCAGCGGCTACCAACACAAAGGCCGAGCATCAGACTAGTCCCTAGTCCTCTTTACCGGGCCTTGCATTCCTGTGACGGCTGAGCATTTATCCGTCTAAATGCGAATTTAAGACGAGTCTCGTCCTGACGGGATTCTCGTTCAACTTTCGCATCTGTTTAGACCACATATCTTAGCCTGAGATTCATAATCTTATTGTGAGACAGACAGTGCTCCTCTGCCTGCTTGTTGTTACATTCCACTTAATGGGCTTGAGAGCCTGGGGGCTTATTTATTTTGTGTGGATTTATTTAACTATGAAATGATTTGGCACACTGCCATACATACACAGAATGTGTTATTGTAAAGAAAACCATTAGATGTTTCAAAAGTACTTGTCTTTATGTGAAGGAAGGACTTAATAACTTAAAAAATTATATTCTAATGGGGGTGGGAGCTATATTATTTAGGAGACAAGACTAATGTTATGGTAAATCTTTAAACATAGTAAACAATTAGTTCAGCACTTTGCCATTTTGTACTGTAATGCAAATCGTTTTACCATTATAAAGGTGGATACGGTTGAAAAAAATTTTACTTCTAACTGCAGAAAATAAAAGCATTTGAGACTCCATATGGCACGGTACATGCCTTTAATTGCGTGTTAAAACATTAATAATTTTTCCCTTAAATACTTGCGTAAATGTTCGATTATATAGCATATAGATCTTTCTAATATTTTAACATCGTTTGGTTTCATTTTAGCAGTTGAACCTAAATGAATCTGTGACTTTGTGAAGTTTGACTTTTAAAATATATCCCAAAATAACAAAATTTCCATTCATCAAGATGTTCTCACGTTTACCACGAACACGCAATAAACACGTAACTAGACCCAGACCTCTCACGGTCACAAACCTCTCGTCCATCCCCTTTTGCAACAACCGGTATTGTAGTGCCACTCGCGGTGGCCTGGGCCGAGAAGACATGTTGTGTTAAAAAAGAAAGGAAGTTTTGGAGTTAGTCAAAGCGTGAAGTGTAATAATATAGTTTGTTAAGTTACGTTAAATACACTGAAAAGTTGTATTGTTTATACATCCAAGTTGTATACAATAAAGTCTTTTATAAACGGTTTATGCCGTTAAACTGGTTTATGTTGACCGAATTCTGTACTGATATCTCAACAAACCATTTTAAACCTATCGACTTTGACGAACGAATTGACCACAGCACCAATATTTTGAGTTAAAGTGATAGCATAATGACAAATCTCAAATACACGTACTGCAAGATTCAGAAGTGCGATGTCGAAAATTCATCGCCATTTACCCAAATTGCAGTTGAACGTCCTTGTCAAGTTATAAAATCGCCGGACCGTTAAAGCCGCCGTTTGTCCTTTAGTTGTTGGTGGAAAATCTTATTATCATCACGGAGTGTATTTGGGCAACAACCAAGTTATCCATGCACTTTAGTGGCGAAGATAAGAGCAAGGCACAAATTGGTGAGTGCTCTGTGGAGGAATTCGTTAGGCCTGTAGACAAAAAAAGTCTCGAAATTTATGAAATAAAATACAAAGACCAAAGTGTCGTTAGCCCTAAAGATGCCGAAGATAGATTGTTAAAACTCGGGAAGAATCAATTCAAATTCAGAAAATATGACCTTGATAAAAACAATTGTGAGACGTTTGCAACGTGGCTAATGACTGGACAAAGGATCTCGCATCAAGTAGAGAGCGGTTTCGATCGAATGCTCATCTTCACCGCGATAGGAGTTGTATGTCTCGGAGCTCTCGGCCTTTCCTACTTTTGAAAACGTTAAAACGTTCTTTGAACAATTACAGTAACACAATCGGCAGCAAACTTGTGAACGATATATACATACATGTACGTATATTTGCTATAAGTTTTACGTATAGGCTCTCAATTAAACTTTTTAATAATAAAGATTTAAAGCAAATTGTGTTCATAGTCTCATATGGCATGGCGAAGTTCTTGTTGTGGCTAAAAGGCTGGAATGGTTAGTTGGCGATCTGGGCCCGATTGTATCAAGCCCGTTTAAAAGATCAAAATAAATTTAAAAGATCAAAATTGTATAACACTCTCACATCTCTTTTAAATGAGTCAACTTTAATATTATGCACTGAATATGTAGTTGTAAACAGTATCTTTGTATTAAGGTTAAAAACATTTAGTTCGCTTGTTGAATAAATTAATATAAACTTGCTTTCTATTTTGAACTTAACCACCCTTTAAGCTAAACGGTTGACATTTACTATAGGGAAAGCAACCACCAACTTTCTATTACCTACCAACCAATATAAAGTTCACTTTAAGACCAGTCACTTAGTGTTTAGGTGAATGATTTCGATTGACTTGTCTAATTAACTTATTCAATACACTAAATGATGTTCAACCATTTCTGGATTCGGTCAATCATTTGTGTCCAGTCGTATCTGTTTACGTGGTAATTATCTAAGGATTAGAGACAAGTCATAATAAATATATAAACAGGCCAATCCTTATTTGCACATGCAAAATTTCACATTTTAATTACGTTATGTGAAGCTACATATATACGACTCTCACAATGGGATATGTGAAGTTTCACAGAGATTCACATGTGAAATAAAGCATTACACACGGACATTTAAACCTACCAAACAGTCAAAAAAAATATTTAGTAATTTGAATATGCAATTTTGAATTAAGCTTTCCACGACGGCACTGCGCAGAACCTATCCTCAAATGCAGAGGTGTACTCTCTTTAAAAAAGAATTATTCTAATTTGTGAAGAACATAAAGAACTTTTAAAAGAACTTTTCCTTCAACACTCATAAGGCTCTTCATCGTGTAATTTTCATCATAATATATTGCTGGTTTCTATCAGGAAACATAAAACAATGATAATCACGGAAATTGTAGAATTGCTCATCTTTCCGGAGTGAATCAAACCGACGCTAGACCTCGAGAATGCGATATATTTGAATTCTTGAAAGGCGCTGTCGACGGGAAATTGTATCGTGTTGATCGAGATAGCACAGATGGCGTGTTGCCGGTTCAAGAGACGTTAGCGAAAGCTGAAGAGGTGTTGGAAAAGCCTTCAACATGGCCGGGATTTCAGATTATTCACAACAACTGTGAGTCATTAGCTACATGGCTAACTACCGGGGTACAAGTTTCAGCTCAGGCAAGGAATGCCGTGATGAGAATTATTCCTTTGGCAGCTGGAGCAGCTAGTGTGGTTGCTGGCTCGTGTGCTGCCATTGTTGCTAATGCAGTGCCGTCGTCTAACGGCCGCAAGTAATTCCAAAGGCTAGGTAATAATCATAGAATTCGAAACTGATAACTGATATCTTCATAGTGAGGAAATTTGATGAATTGTCAAAGACAGGTCGTTGAAGACAAAACTAACACTGAAGTTAACGCGTCTAGAGCCGGAAATGAAAGTGGAGGAACTGTCACAGACAACGATAACGATCCTATAATAAATCTAAACGTTGGTGGGAAGACATTTACAACCAGGAAATCAACTCTCTGTCAGGTTGAAGGTTCCTTGTTCGCTACAATGTTTAGCGGTCGCTGGGAAGATAGTGTCGAACGTGATCAAGATGGCACTGTATTCTTTGATTTTAATCCAAACCATTTTGGCGTTATTTTGAATTATCTCCGAGTTAAAAAAATTGCGACTTCAGAGAATCCGGTGAGCTTATTTAAAATTTCTGAAGATGAAGCGAATAATTTCAACATTCTTGTTGAGTATCTTGGCTTGAGTGATGAAATCGTTCCAACTGAGATTTTCCCTGACGAGAAATTCAACTTGCACAGCCCAGGAGTCACTCTTGAGGAAGACGGGAAAGTCGCAGTTCATGATGGAACTGATGGGCTCGAATATGCCCTTGGTGAGAATGTTTACAAACAAGGAATTGTGAATCTCGAATTTAAGTTGAAGTCGTTTGAAAATTTACGTTGGGTTTTCGTTGGCATAATGGATGTTGATGTGTTTGTACCACCCAATAATGTTTCACATGAATGGCTTAGTGGATATGGATGGACATTGGGGGTCAACGGTGGATCAGGGTGAGAATGGGTCAAAGTTGCCATTAAATGTGGATAAAAAAGCTGCCTTACAAAGTTAAGTTGAACAGGGTGATACGATTGAGTTAGTCTCGGACTGTGAAACAGCAAGGTTGTCGCTGAAAGATTGTAAAAATGACCCTGAACGGTGAAACAACGGAATAGATTAGATTCTTCGTCAATCTAATAGTGAATTCCTTAAAAAAATAATTACAGATCTGTGTTGCGGCAGATGTTTTAAACTGACGCAAACTAACTATTCAAAGCGGTTTAACAAAAATCCCCCATTTTGACCTTTGATCGGAAGATCTAATATTCAGTTTCATAAAACTGAGTGTTTAGCGCTGAAGTTTGAAATATGATGCAATCTTGATACTCGAGTCCATACCGATTGGGATATCTTTTAGAAGTTTTATCTCATTTTCATATACTTTTAAAGCATTTTTTACGCTCTGATAGTGGCGTACGTACGGGAGACGATAATTGGTGGGGGGGGGGGGCACATATTCATACTGTATATTCATGTTGTGCAAGATTAATATCTTTTCAAATCCATTGTCTTTACATGTCTGTTAACATGAATACATGAATAGGCCCCCCCCCCAATTATCGTCTCCCATACCCTACGGCACTCTGAAGTGTCTCAATCACTGTTTCTTTGAAAGATAGCAACTGCTTTTATGACGAGAGGTTTTGCATCATGCATGCATGTGTTAGGGCACGAAATTATCAAGTTTAAACTTTGAAGTGACACCGCGTTTTAACATGGTAAAAGGTATGGCCGGAAAACAAGAAAATTAATCCGAATTATAAATTTCATGTTTTTCCGTGTTTAATTTTTTTTTTTTTTGTAATACATTATTACATTCGTGCATATTGTCATCAAAGCACGCGAGAGCTTTCAGCTAATCTGGGAAGGACATTTCAATATACCAAACTCAGCAGATTTATTTCTTCTTTGCGAATAGGTTTTTAGAGGAATTCACCTCGAGTGAAGCTAAAAGATACGACTTTTCGGTTAATTCAATTGTCTCTTAAAGGCTAATCATGGTCTATGTTTTGTCATATTTTCTACGGGTAAGCGTTGCATGCATGAACGCATTTTCAAACGACAAAAGCTATCGCGAGCTTTGAGCGCTTCTTGGCCGAACGAAAGATTGTAAAAATGACCCTCAGCTATGGAACAACGGAATAGATTGGATTCTTCGTCAATCTATAGTAAATTCCCTTAAAAAAGAAATATAGATCTGTGTTGCGACAGGCGTTTTAAACTGACACAAACTAACCATTCATTAAAAAAAATCCCCCATCTTGACCTTTCATCGAAAGATCTATTATCTTTTCATCAAACTGAGTGTTTAAAGTGCTGCTGCAACGAATTTTTTTGCACCTTTTTTGGCTCAATTTAAAGTGCTCACTTTCTTGATCTCATTTCTGAAAACAGAATCAAAGTTGGCTTTCTCAAAAGATTTTTATAGCTCTCCAAAGTCGCGATTTTTGCCACTTCCTGTGCAAACTTTTGCTCCGCCATATTGTGGTTTATTACGTAGAAAAGAGTACCGATTCTTAGCATGGCGTAAAAATACTAGTGTTAAGTAGCCTCGTCAACGAAGAAACTGTGTTTCTTACAGTCCAGATTAAGCCAGTATTCATCAAAATTATGAAATATCTGTATTTATATATATATATATATATATATATATATATATATATATATATATATATATATATATATATATATATATATATATATATATACCCTTTCTCTAGCAACACAAAGCATTTAGCATTTTGTAAGTTGCATTAAATCCCCACGGGCCGGAAATTCGTGAACACGGCATTCAAATTTTAACAATGAGTGTTTTCAATAGTTTTCGGTTTTTTTGGGACACCCTGTATATATGTTCCTAAAGAAATAGATGGATCGCCAAAGTGGAAGAAAATATTAAATTTTGTTCCGACTTTCTGTCATGGTGCGGTTCTTTGCGCGCACATGCATTCATGATGAATTATAGTGATGTTGGCCTTGGTGTCTTAATGTGCATTGTGCACGGCCAGTGTCGTTTCTTAAGACATTGAAGTTCAATTTAAATCAGCAAGAATGGTGTTTCTTGATTATTTGATATGTGTGTGTTTGATATATTTCGATACGCGCTATTGCAAAACAGTGGCAATGTGGCATTTACAATAGTAGAGTATCATATTACTGTTTTTGTTTTGCAGGAATATATCGCATAGCATACACAAATATTATCAGTAACAAGGACATCATATCATTGCCTTCGTCTTCTTTTACTGAAAGACTAAGCAGTTTTTTAGGTTCTTCAAGATCGTCTTACGTAGGACTTCGTGGCACAAAGGAGTATGCGGCACAACATATACATGCATATATATGGCATATATTTAATACTACATTATATCCCTATCAGACGGGCTAAGACTAATTTGAATTTTCTATCAAATCGGCGTATATTTTCCTGACCTTTACTAGGCATTCCTTGAATATATGTTAGTTAACAGAATTAATTTCCATTTTAAAATAAAATGATTTGGTTCTCCGCGTCAAGCTCGAAAATTCGAGGCGGACAACACACAAGCTATATGATTATATCACCATATGCTTCGAAACATCGGTACTCACTATGATGTCACATCAACAAACATGGCGGCTATAAAAGTTCGCATTTGTCACCGAGGTTTGAGAGCAAGATTAGTCAACTTCTACTTAACACACAAAAGTCGTTTCTAAAATCAAATTTTTTCTAAAAGACTGAATATTATTATTATTATTATTATTATTAAAAAATACACATAAAGTAGCTTAGACAGCTAAATTACAATGTGATTTACAGGTTCATAAAAATAATTTAAGAAATATTACATTTTAGAATTACAATAATTCATACTCTAATCTATATTACAAAACTAGAAGTAAATTACAAAAGCTATATTTTAAATATTAAGAAACTAATAAAATAGTTAAGAATCATCAATTTTGAGATTGTACTTACGAATCGCATATACTAGAGGACTATTTCTAAAGCGCTCTGTTCTGCATTTAAAATTGTAAATTTTATTTACATTAAGTCTCGTGTCTCTCTCCCGTAATTGACCTACAGTTGGTGGTAGCAAATCATTGAGTTTATGTGAAGGGTCCTTTATATCCTTTATCAAGTTTATGCACATTAACTCTCTTCGACTTTCTAAAGTTTTAATACCACATTCAGTTAATGCTTGTTCATAATTCTTTTCCGGGCATATAATTTTCATTGCACGCTTTTGAATTCTCTCTATATCCCTAGATTGTTCCTCTGTCAAACTCCCATGCCAAATTTGAGCTCCATATTCTACGATTGATCGAATTGCCGAAGTATAAATAGTTTTCAAGTCATCTCGCGGAGCATTATATCCTTTTAAAATTTTTAAAAGATATAATCGTTTAGCTGCCTTTTTGACAATGTATTCCGTATTTGTTCTCCATTTTAGATCATCGTCTAACCACAATCCAAGTAATTTATAAGAGCTTACTCTTTCTAGGATGCATTCATCGACTTCTGTTGCAGGAATAGCTGTTCTATCCTTTCGAAAGTCGATAATCATCTCTTTGCACTTTTTTGGGTTTAACTCCATTCTCTCAATTTCCGCAAAATTCTTTACCGAATTAATTTTTTGGGGTATATTACCAATTTCCGTGCCAGAGATATGATTGTGAACATCCAGTGCCTCACTAATCGTTGTATCGTCCATGAAGAGAATCGTATCTTCATCCACAACGACATCATTATTTCCATTTCCTACAACAGCTTCTGCTATACACTAGGTAACATATTAATTTTAACCACAAAAGCAATAGGTCCCAGCTTACTGCCTTGCGGAACGCCTCCCATAACATTCGCAAAATCAGATACTCGTTTCCAAACTGTGTAAAATGAGATCTCTCGTCCAGGTACGATGCATACCATTTGATCAGAGCAGGTCTTACACCAATTTCTCGCATGTTTTCTAAGAGTTTATTATGATCGATAAGGTCAAATGCCTTTCGGAAATCCAAAAAGACTATTCTTATCACTCTGTGCAGTTCATCCAATGATTTATGCCACTTGTGTATTAAATTAACCAGCGCATTAATTGTCGATGATCGTGGTAGACCCCCATATTGAGAATCAGAAATTTTTTCATCGGTATCTTCATATATCCACTGAACAGCAAAAGATTCTTGAACCTTTGCTAGGACACTAGTTAAAGCAATTGGTCTTAACTCTTCAACATGCGTACATGGTACAGATTTAGGGATTCCAGATACCTTATATTTTTTCCAGATCTCAGGAAAATTTTTGATTGAAAAGATTCATTGAAGATTTCGGTCAAAGGTACAGCAAAATATTTTGTAAAAATCTTCAAGATCTTCAGAGAGGGATCATAAGGACCAGGAGCTTTATTAAGGTTAATTTTACGCAATTCTCGTTGTACCTGTCGACAGTAATTAGAGGTAGATTTCTATACATTGAAATTCCAACCAATTTTCGTTCACTTTCGGATAATTCTTAGTTAAGTTTGCAAAATAATCGTTTATATAATGAGCAGACTGCTTATCATCCATCTGAAACCCAGTATTGGGATCCAACATTATTGGTTTAGCAGTTTTCTTGCCGATCAAGCCCTTCATTTGTTTCCACCAAGATTTAGGGTGTTTTTAAAGTTTGGACTTACTTTATTCTCGTAGAAATCGATTTTCGCTTTCCGAATTTCTGCCGAGACTTGTCTTCTGAGACTTTTCACACGCTCAACTTTTTTATTTTTAAAAGCCATATTCCTTTTAAGAATCAACCATTTTATTTTAGCTGTCATAAAAGGTTTATCCTTACTATAAACTTTAACCGTTTTTTCCGGAAAATATTCAGAAATCATATTCTCAGTGACCTGAAGAAAGGTATTGACTTTTTCATTGATGTCGGAGGTGTAAAGAACCGAAGACCAGTTATAACTTGCTAGTAGAGATTCGAAATT